TTTTTTTTCGTTTGGGGGAAAACTAAAACTGGTCGCAATTTTCAAATAAGAATGAGTCGGCAATTTTTAGTGGAGTCGAAAATTTGGAGGTAAATAAAACACCGAAACCCGGCAAATAAATAGCCAATCGAATTTTTAGAGGGGTCGAAATTTTGGAGTTTTCACGGTACTAATTATTCCATTTCAATGAAACTTAGTACAAAGATGCTCTAGGACAATGTACAAACCTAATTAGTTTGGGGTAAAAATCTGTTCATATTAATTCCCTAATAAGCATAATAATTCATAATTTTTTGGTTCTAATCACATTTCAATTAAACTTGGAGACATAGATTTTCTGTTACATTGCGCAGACCTCATTAGTTTTACACTCAAATCTGGTCATATTAATTTTCTGATTTGCATAATTAGTTTTCAGCTAAGTAATTTCGAATTATATTTAATGTGTCTCCAATACTCTCAGCACATGGGAGTTCTTTCTAAGCTTTCTTTGATTTCTATTGGACAGCCACTTGTCAGCATTTTGAAGCTGATACCTTGAAAGATAATACTGAACAAGATGGTGGAGTTTCAACTATGGATACTGGTCATCAAGGTGGAGATGGTGACAAAGCACCACAGGATCAAGTTGCCAAAATTGTTTTAAAAGAGAAGTCACCCTCTAAGAAACCTATTCAAATTAGTCAGAAAAAGCATGTTGTTGATGGAAAAATAAATACATACTTGAAACCAGGTTCTTCAACCAAAAGTGGTACAAGTCCAGGAACAAAGGCTTCAGTGAAAAAAAGTCCAAGGAGTACCAAAAAGAGGACTGTCACCACTGGTAAACCCTTAATGTGGAGATTGTAAACCACTGAGATTGTATTCATATGCAGATTCTAAACCACTATTGTATTCATATGGACATTGTAAACCACTGGTATTCATATGCAGATTGTAAACCACTGTGTTTGTATTCATATGGACATTGTAAACCACTGCGGTTGTATTCATGTTGAGATTGTAAACCACTATAGTTGAATTCATATGAAGATTGTAAACCACTGTGGTTGTATTCATATGGTGATTGTAAACCACTGGTTGTATTCATATGAAGATTTTAAACCACTGTGGTTGTATTCATATGAAGATTTTAAACCACTGTGGTTGTATTCATATGAAGATTGTAAACCACTGTGGTTGTATTCATATGGTGATTGTAAACCACTGTGGTTGTATTCATATGGTGATTGTGAATCACTGTGGTTGTGTTCATATGAAGATTGTAAACCACTGTGGTTGTGTTCATATGGAGATTTTAAACCACTATAGTTGTATTCATATGGAGATTGTAAACCACTATAGTTGTATTCATATGGTGATTGTAAACCACTGTGGTTGTATTCATATGGGATTGTGAACCACTGTGGTTGTATTCATATGGGATTGTGAACCACTGGTTGTGTTCATATGAAGATTGTGAACCACTGGTTGTATTCATATGGTGATTGTAAACCACTGTGGTTGTGTTCATAAGGGATTGTGAACCACTGGTTGTGTTCATATGAAGATTGTAAACCACTGTGGTTGTATTCATATGGGATTGTAAACCACTGGTTGTGTTCATATGGTGATTGTAAACCACTGGTTGTGTTCATATGAAGATTGTAAACCACTGTGGTTGTATTCATATGGGATTGTGAACCACTGTGGTTGTATTCATATGGGATTGTGAACCACTGTGGTTGTATTCATATGGTGATTGTAAACCACTGTGGTTGTGTTCATATGGTGATTGTAAACCACTGTGGTTGTGTTCATATGGGATTGTGAACCACTGGTTGTGTTCATATGAAGATTGTAAACCACTGTGGTTGTATTCATATGGGATTGTAAATCACTGTGGTTGTATTCATATGGTGGTTGTAAACCACTGGTATTCATATGCAGATCATAAATCACTGTGTTTGTATTCTTATGGAGATTCTAAACCACTATTGTATTCATGTTGAGATTGTAAACCACTGTGGTTGTGTTCATATGGTGATTGTAAACCACTGTGGTTGTGTTCATATGGGATTGTAAACCACTGGTTGTATATATGAAGATTGTGAACCACTGTGGTTGTATTCATATGGGATTGTGAACCAC